TCCTTCCTTCCTTCCTTCCTTCCTTCCTTCCTTCCTTCCTTCCTTCCTCCTTTTGTAACTTACTTAGCGACTAAAATAGCAAGAAAGCTACCAAAGTCACCAAGCTCAGAGCACCAAGGACCCCACTCCTAACTCAGGAAGAATCAAGACAAGATTAGGGATGGACTAGAAATTTGTTCAGCTTTTTTTGTGTGTGTTTCCAAACTAATAAGAAAGAACGCAGAAACTTAAATCTTAAATTGCATTTATTAGAATACAGTATTCAAACAAAAAAATAGTGAGGAGAAAGTCATAAAAACATGTGGAACATATAGAAGTTGTCAGACAATGATGTAATAAACCATAAAATGTATAAAGTAAGCTCCCAGCTGGCTTTCATCCCTAAGTCCCCAAGGCAGGACTAGAACTCACCATCTGCTGGTGATTGACCCAAAGTCACCCAGCTGGCTTTCATACCTATGGTGGGACTAGAACTCTCCATCTCCTGGATTATTGGCCCAAAGTCACCAAGCTCGTTTTCATGCCTAAGTGGGACTAGAACTCTCCATCTTCTGCGTTATTGGTCCAAAGTCACCCAACTGGCTTTCCTGCCTACTGCAGGACTAGAACTCATGGTCTTCTTTCTAGCCTGGTACTTTAACCAGTAAACCAAACTGGCTCTCTTAGATATGTACTAATTATATTATTGTGCGTTCCACCCATACGGAAAGTCAGTTCCAATTGATCCTGGAAGCCAAAAGAGCTAGTCTCACATTTTCAGCATTTCTCATCTTGCCAATGGAGCATTGTTCCAAAGGTTCCACTTGAATAGTGCGCTTTCTTTGGCTTGGCTTGCATAGAAATGCCTCGGGTGTCAATCACCTAAGTAACAAATGAAGAACTTCTTTTTTAAAAACAAACAAACAAACCAGCAAACCTTGTGCATAACATACCTTGATCGTCGTATTCCTCCCTCCCTGCCCCCACCCCCTTTTTGCCATCTCAAAAGGATTGCCAGGGATTTAACCTGAGAAATCCGTCAACACGAGAACGTTGGAATGAAGAAGATAACTTAATGAAAACATTTGTGACTGTTTCTTTCTGGGGAGCGTAAAAAAAAAAACCCCAAAAAACCCACAACTGCATTGTGTAAGATTGACAGGCTTAGTAATTGATGCTCGGGGCTGTTGCAGCCCTCTGGCAAATGAGAGTTTGGCAGAGTGGCAACATTGAGGGTTAAGATGCACTTACCACGGGTGACCAGGGAGCAAAGCCAACAATGGGTGAGTTACATCTATTGTGGTCAATAATGCAACATTGTTCTACAAATTATGGGTTTCCCGAGCCAAATTCAGAAATCAGGCTTCAGAACAGATCCAAATTCACATCTTGAGTGGACTTCCTGGGGTTAAGAGCTCATGTTGCTTGGCTTGGCTTGGCTTTATAGGTAAAGGCAAAGGTTCCCCTCGCACATCCGTGCTAGCCATTTCCGGCTCTAGGGGGCGCTGCTCATCTCCGTTACAAACCTGAACAGCCAGCGCTGTCCGAAGACGTCTCCGTGGTCACGTGGCCGGCATGACTAAATGCCAAAGGTGCATGGAACGCTATTACCTTCCCATCAAAGGGGTCCCTGTTTTTCAACTTGCATTTTTTTTTTTGCATGCTTTCGAACGGCTAGGTTGGCAGAAGCTGGGACAAGGAACGGGAGCTCACTCCATGATGCAGCAATGCTAGGGATTCGAACCGCCGAACTGCCAACCTTTCTGATTGACAAGCTCAATGTCTTAGCCACTGAGCCACCACATTCTCCACCCTCCTTTTTTTGGCTTTATACATTTCTCCAATTTCCACCGGCCAGTTTCATGGTACAAGATATGTTCTGATTGAAGGGTTCAAAATTCCCTTTTTCTCAGATTTGGAAATGCCTTTTTTGAGGGGTAGTCTTGAAAAACAAGGAGAAAAAAGCTATAAGTTCTCGACTTACAACAGTTCATGTAGTGACCATTCAAAGTTACAACAGCAATGGAGAAACTGACGTATGACCGTATTTCACACTTCTGACTGTTTCCCCATCAAAATTCAGAGGCTTGGGTACGGACTCATACTTATGACAGTTTTGCCATGTCCTGGTGACCACAATTTTGTGACCTTCTGAAGTCAACGGAGAATCCAGATTCACTCAACAACCTTGTGGCTCACTTAACAACTGCAGTGATTTACTTAACGGCTGTGACAAGAAAGGTCATAATGAGCCTCAGTGGTGCAGTGGTTAGAGTGCTGTACTGCAGGCCACTTCTGCTGGCTGCCGGCTGCCTGCAATTTGGCAGTTGAAATCCCACCAGGCTCAATGTTGACTCAGCATTCCATCCTTCCGAGGTGGATAAAGTGAGGACCCAGATTGTTGGGGGCAAGAGTCTGACTTTGTAAACTGCTTAGAGAGGGCTGTGAAGCACTATGAAGTGGTAAATAAGTCTATTGCTATTGCCCTTCCTTCCTTCCTTCCTTCCTTCCTTCCTTCCTTCCTTCCTTCCTTCCTTCCTTCCTTCCTTCCTCTTTCTGTCCTTCCCTCTCCCTTCTTCTTCCTTCCTTTGTTTCTTCCTTCCTTTCTTTCTCTCTCTTCCTTTCTCATTCTCCTTCCTGGTGGCGCAGTGGTTAGCATGCAGTATTGCAAGCTAATCCTGCCCACAGCCAGCAGTTCGATCCTGACTGGCTCAAGGTTGACTCAGCCTTCCATCCTTCTGAGGTGGGTAAAATGAGGAGCCAGATTGTTGGGGGCAATATGCTGACACTGTAAAACCGCTTAGAGAGGGCTGTAAACTCTGTGAAGCGGTATATAAATCTTCTATTGCTTGGGAAGGAAGGAAGGAAGGCATAGTGGTGGAATGGTTAGAATGCAGTGTTTCAGGCTAACTCTGCCCACTGCTAGGAGGTCGATCAAGGTTGACTCAGCCTTCCATCCTTCCGAGGTTGGTAAAATGAGGACGCAGATTGTTGGAGGCAATAGGCTGACTTTGTAAACTGAGGACTATAAAGTGGTATATAAGTCTATGTGTTATTGCTATTCCTAACGTGGGGCAAAATTCATTTAACAACTGCCTTGCTGATCAACGGATATTCTGGACTTCCATTGTGGCTGTAAGTCGAGGACTACCTGTGACAAGTCAACACAAACCAAAAATGCATTGTATCAAGCAGAATAATGCATTGGTTGGTTTAATTTTGAGAGAAACTCCGTTTTACACATCTGTAATGGGAGCTAAGACAAAGCATTATAATTTATGGCTGAAATTTGCACAATGTTGGCTCTTGGTTTTTTTTAATTGGTTTAGGTTTTTTTTTCTTGTTTTTGGTTTTGCTTTGTTTAACAGAACAGAGGGAGAAAACCCACATCCACACACATAGAGAGAGAGACACATATATAATTTAAAATGATGAAAAGGCAATAACAATAGTATAAATAATATATAAGTTCTCATGGATATATAGACATATATCCATGATTTTATTTACAGTTTCAATAAAGATGGCCAGGTTTGATTGTAATCATCCATCTATAATTTACAGCTATAGATAAGTCATTCGAAAGTCCCAAGTAGCATCAGGTTTAATCCACTGAGGAATTACAGCCATAAATTTATCTTAATTACGGGAAGCACTAATTTTTGGCAATAATCAAAGCCCAGAAAAATCTACTTCTGTTGTCCAGCTGTCAATTTCCATGTAGTAGATATGTAGTTCAAAGGAATGAGTGCGTCTGGAAATATTTGATCTGATTATGAAAGTACCTCATTTTTAAGACAAGATGCAGAATCATAAATGAGCACCTCAGCATATAAAATATTCTGAGACTGGGGGGGAAATGAATCCAAGGTTAAGCTGATGACAACCTCCAAGTAATTTCATGGGGCAGGTTATGGGAAGACCTCAGTGAATCTCAAGGTGTTCTAATTTCCTGGCCAAAGGCTGTTCATCACCCAGGAAGCTTTGATAACTTGTTGCTGTTGTTAAGTCGCTAAGTCATGTCTGACTCTTCATGACCCCAAAGTTCAGCCTATGGCTGTAATAAACTAAATTGATTGAGTGAAAGTCTAGTTGCCTCTTAAAAAAGCACTTTGGGGGCAACCATGACCTGGATGACTGAGAATCTCCATAGATATTCTATGGAATTGTTCAACCAGAAGGCAGAAAATAGGCTCAATTTTTTGCTTTTCATTTTCTCTCTCTCCCTCATCTCTTTCTCTCTCCCATCTCTCTCCCATCTCCTTCTCTCTCTCTCATCTCTCTCTCTCATTTCCATCTCATATATCATCATCTCTCTCTCTCTCTGTCTCATCTCTCTCTACCTACATGTCTATCTTTCATCTCTATCTTAACTCTCTCTCTGTCTCATCTCTCTGTCTCATCTCTCTCACATCTCTCATCTCTCTCTCTGTCTCATCTCTGTCTTATGTCTCTCTCTCATCTCTCTCTCTCTCTCTCTATGTATCTATCTTTCATCTCTCTCTGTCTCATCTCTCTGTCTCAATCTCTCTCTTTCTCTCTCTCTGTCTCAACTCTCTATCTCATCTCTCTTTCTCTCTCTCTCTTTGTCTCATCTCTCTCTCATCTCTTTCTCTCATCTTTCTCTCATCTCTCTCTCTGTGTCTCATCTCTCTCTGTCTCTCCTCTCTCATTTCAGGTCAAATACTTCCCAATCTGCAGCCATTTGCAAACCACCGAGAGACCCCCTCAAAGCAAAACTGCCATGCCTTTGCACTGCGGGCCAACATTTCCTAACAATTGTGGTGGTGGATTTTTGTCTGTGTGTGATGTGGGAAAGAGGCCTTGCTCTGTGAGGCCTTTCTGCTTTGTTTGTTTATTATTTTTTTAAAAAAAATGGGGAAAAATTGCTCAGTGAAAGAGTCCGTTTTGAAGTCTGACTTTTGATGTTGCGTGTATTCACTGGAGCATTCTCCTAGGGCTGATTTATATTAAAAAAAAATGTATGGAAAGATTTAAACTTTTATCTTGAACTAGTCTGTGGAACATAGTGTGTAGCCGCCAAACATCTGTGTGTTCTGCGCTAACCATGCTTTGATATAAACAATCCTATCTGAGTTCTCTACAAGAAGGCCATTCTTCTGTCAATTGACAAAGGTGGGGCAATATTTGGTTTTCTCATCTTAGTCCTTCCATGTTTGTGAGGATCATCTACACATACCTTTTTTTTATTTCTATTTTTTGGCTCAATTCATCTGCCTCTTGGCTATTTTGCTCTCCTGACGTCTTGTTTCCTGGCTTCCTTCCAAATCCTCAGAAGAAAAATGGGATTTGTAATAATTACTTGTAAAGCTAAGCATGCGTGAAATGCTTCTGGAAGGTTCAAAAGCCCCTTCATCTCTACTTAATCCTCGTCGCCCTTTTTCTCTCTCTCAAACTTGGCTGTTTTAAGAGGGGGCAGACATCAACTCCCAGAATTCCATGCGCCTTCTGGAATTCTGGGAATGGATATCTACCACATTTCTTAAAATGGCCAATTTGGTGGGCGGGGGGGAGAAGCCACTATTTCATATCAACCAAGTCTGACAGAAAAAATTCATTTGCAGATGTGAGGCTCAAACAGAAAAATAATCACTGCTTTGAAGCTGCTTCTATTCATGGCAAAGTTAAGATGGTATTTCTTATTTGGAAGCTCAGTTTTTATTCCCAGGTTGCTGCAGATTTCACTTTGAAGAGAAGAAATCTCAGTTAATAAAGCAAATGACGTATATTTAGTAGAATAACAGAATTGGAGGTCTTCTACTCCAAACCCTGCTCAGCCAGGAGGCTCTAAGAGGCATCTTGGAGTCTTAGTGGAAAACCAGTTAAATATGAGCCAACAGTGTGCAGTGGCAGCCAAAAAAGCTAATGCAATCCTAAGTTGCATTAACAGAGGGATACAATCGAGATCAAAGGAGGTACTAACACCACTCTATAAAGCCTTAGTAAGACCACACCTGGACCAGTTTTGGTCATCACATGATAAAAAAGATGTTGAGACTCTAGAAAGAGTGCCGAGAAGAGCAACCAGGATGATGAGGGCACTGGAGGCTAAAACTTATGAAGAACAGTTGCAGGAACCGGGCCTGGCTAGTCTAGGGAAGAGAAGGACCAGGGGAGACAGGAGAGCATCTTCCAATAATTAAGGGGCTGCCACAGAGAGGAGGAAGAGGTCAAGCTATTTTCCAAGGCACCTGAAGGCCAGACAAGGAATAATGGATGGAAACTGAACGAGGAGAGATTCAACCTGGAAATAAGGAGAAACTTTCTGACAGTGAGAACAATCAGCCAATGGAACAGGAGTTGCCCTCAGAAGTTGTGGGAGCGCCATCACTTGTGACTTTCAAGAAGAGATTGGACTGCCATCTGTCAGAAGTGGTGTAGAGTCTCCCGCTTGGGTGGGGGGTTGGACTAGATGACCTACAAGGTCCCTTCCAACTCTGTTAATCTGTTAAAAACCCTATTTATTAGCATGTTAGCCACAATTGTGGCATTTTTACTCGTGAGAGGAAGAAGACTTTACATGAGACAGACAACAACCTTCTGATCGTTCCTGATCTTGGAATAATATGCATCCAGAGATCAATTCTGTTCTTGCCATTTTGAATTTAGGCAAATTGTTAAAAACCTGGTTCTGGTTTTCTTTTTATAGGGGGAAGGTTTTCATTTACATATACTTTTTTAAAATATATTTTCTGTCTTACGGATTGCCTTCCATTTTGGCTGTACCTTCATTTCTTTTGCAAATCATTATGGAGTCAAGAGCCCCAAAACTGGAGTATCAAATTAAATTAAATTCATAAACCAGCTCCAAAAAGAGAAAAGAACAGAACAGAAAGAAAACCTGCATTTCCACAACATGTGGTACACTTTAGTTTTTAACATTTCTCTCTGCGTTGTGAGAAATGAACCTACTGAGTTTCTTTGATGTATAATGCAAACTCGGAATATAGATTAATTCAATAACAAGATTAAACTTGTTATGTGTATGCTGTTAGTGAGTATTCCGAACATTGGGAATGGGGTAAGTGAGAGAGTTAAGGGTTTTTATTTCTAAATCTTTGCAACAATTTGTTTTATTTTTTTATTCCAGTCTCTTTGAGCCAGGGGTAACTATTGAAAATGTACACCATAAAAAAACCCAACAACAGTGGTTTAAACCAGAAGTGGGTTTCCATTATTGGCTTTTTCCAAACACAGCTTCTTGCATTACAGTGGAGTTCACTTAAAAATATTCCAGTAGAACTGTGGTTTGGAGGAACATCAACCAAACTCACATATCAAGAGAGACATTTGAAAAGAAAAAATAATGGTGGATATATCGTTCACACGTTTGTTGAATTCTGAATGGTATAAAGTACTTCCGTGACTCTTGAAATTTTATATCTGTCTTAACTATTTTATAGTTCATGATACTATTGTTATTACTCCCAAGAAGAGATGTTAAAATGTCTTGATCATAAACGCTCCTTCTATCCAAGTATAACAAAATAATAACCTGGATCAGAATTTCTCAAATATCCCTTGGATTCAGTGGGCCACATTAGCAGGGAGATGAAATATTCTAGCCTTAATACGATGACAACAATTGTTCAAAAATAAAAATTGTGGGTCTAATTTTTTTTCTCTCTCTGCATGTTTGAATGTATACAGGTAACTCCGTGTCTGAAAACTGGCAAGAAAACAACCATAGTGACATGGGAGCTTGTATCTTTAATTTGATCCATGGGTAGATGTTTAACTTTTTCCATTGCCTGTTTGCTTTGGCATATATTGGGCATTGTTGCCACAACAAACAATAGGACTCATTTACTTAAAATGTAATGTACAGCTAGTTGCTATATAGATCTTAAGGAAGTACTGTTGGTTAATATACAGGCAGAGAAATGGGGTTTTTTTTCCAGTTCAATTTTATTACAGGACTAAGGCAATATACAAGCCAAATACTGAATAAAAGCCATATTACATCTATCTATCTATGTATCATACCAGCCAATTTGGTTAAGGCACCAGGCTACAAAGTGAGAGGCTGTGAGTTCTTAATCCTTCTTAACCATGAAAGCCAGCTGGGTGACTTTGAGCCAATCACCAAGAGACAGGGAGTTCTAGTCCTGCCTCCCCATCCACGTTGCTCATCTTTGCATTGTATGCAGTGAAAACTCAACTCTTCTTTTCTGCGTGGTTTAAAAAAATAGTCTGCTTCTTCTCTATTACAGACCAGGGGACTGTGCAGAAGGTGGTGGCCCTGCCCACTAATTCATCGACAAATGGAGAGCTTATCTTAGAAGAACTGGAAGTTTTTAAGGTTGGTCTCTTTCTCTCTCTCTCAAGATTCTTCATTTTTTTTCCTCTCGGCAAAACACTTTCATCTAACAAGCAGGCAAATAGATTACTAAAAGTAGCACCAAATTAAAACATATATAAACCACTATTAAATTTTACAGTCCCATGCAGTAATGGTAGTATCTTCTGTAGGAGATGAGAAAGCTGAGCTGGAAGGCAGTGTTAAACATGTCATCAGTTTGGAATCTTTGCGCTCCCACAAAAGACCTAAGTCCAGCTTCCCATGAATTCCATTGAATCTTATCAAGCACCAGTTTAGCTTTGACCATTATTTCACCAGATTCTTGTGCATAAGTAGCAATAATAAATTCTTCAGTACTTTGAACTCAGCATGTTTTCCTATTTCTTTGCACCTGACATCTTCCTTGTATGACAAAACATATGTAAGGAAAAACAGCTTCCTTACAGAGCACATCAAAACTTTAACAGTTCAACTCTGAACTTCTTATGGTTTTTTGTTTTTGTTTTTTTACTATTGCACTTTCATCTAAATTAACTTGGCAAGATGGAATATTTCTTGGGGAAATGGTAAAATGAAAAAAATGATTGCATTTTCTAATTACAGTGAAACACTGATATGGTAGATCTTGGCACAATAACCAAATCTTTCCTGCAATTGCAGAAGATCGAATTTCTGTGGCAATTTTTGCTCCTTGCTGTATGCCATGATGAAAATGATATGGTTTGTGCTCGTTTACCTAATTTGCATGAGAAGATCCCACCAATGAGGTACATTAACCCAGAAGGATGTTATTTGCATAGTAGTTTCATTAAAGAATACAACTCACCATGAAAACCTCTTTTCTCAGTCAACCCACGTTTTAATACCAGATGTCCACTCTTTCTATGGGTCTGTTAAAAGGGAAGCTTCATCCTACTGATTTTGTGAGGTTGGGTTTCTCCAAGAGAAGAAAAGCAGAATTGCAATATTTTACACTCCGCTTTAAATCACTTGTTTTTCATTAAATTGTCAGCCTGGCTTGATATTCTCCCCCCACCCCCTACCCTTCCTCTTCAAGTTATAACAGCTGCCACCAAATCTGACTTTTTCTTTGTTTATATCGTGATTACAATCTCTTGTGGTGGGATGTCAAGTATTCTCTGTGTTTGTGTGCCTATGTCTTAGTTGATAAGGTTCCTGAACTTTAAAAATCTTTTAAAAAAACACACAACATACTATTTTCTTTCTTATAACCCAAAAGTTTCCAATATTGGCCTCCATCTGCTGATGCTCTCAAAAAGTGATTTAGGAAGAAAAACCAGAGCAAGATTCATATTATTGTTAAACAGAATAACCGAGTTGGAAGGCACCTTGGAGATCTCCTAGTCCAACCTCCTGCTCAGGAAGGAGACCCTATACCATTCCAGACAAACGGTTGTCCAATCTCTTCTTTAAACCTCCAGTGATGGAGCACCCATGATTTCTTGAGGGAAGTTGTTCCATTGATTAATTGTTCCAACTCTCGGGAAATTTCTTCTTAGTTCCAGGTTGCTTCTCTCCTGGATTCATTTCCATCCGTTGCTTCTTGTCCTCCCTCAGGTGCTCTCAGGAATAGCTTGAGTCCCTCTTCTTTGGGGCAACCCCTGAGATACTGAAACACTTCCAAGACCCAATTCATGGACTTTGACAAGATATTTGTTAATCCATAGGAAATGGAGGGGGACTTGCTGATTTCCATGTGAACTCTTTGTGGAACCAGAAACATCTGTTATTTGCCAGTTTTTGCATCCAAGTTACAATTTATGCTCAGAAAAGGAGTCCCGTCGAAGCCAAGTCTGACTTTTGAAATCCTCGTTCCCATTCCCAAGCTCAGATTGGACTGCAACAGCTACAGGCTGAGTTCCTGTGCAGCAAAAAAAGAAAAAGGAAATTAAAGAACCAGAAAATGACCCAAGATTCTTTCTGAGTCAAGCTGGATTTGGCCTATTTCACATCCCACTTCTACAGTTTTAAGACCCTTTGGGAGAATTATTATTTTTTTCCCTCACAAAAATCCCATGCTCTTAGGGAGTAGGATGAAGCTACCGCAGAAAGAAAGAGAAGGAAAAATAATTTCCTTTTTAAAATAGCTACATTTCCACAGATGACAAAGGCAAAGTGGGTTTAGGAGGGAAACTTATAATTTGGGGGGGGGGGGGGTGAGAAGAGGGGATTACCTTATTTTATAAGGCAGGGATCTCAAAATTGACAGCTTTAAGATTTATGGACTTCAACTCCCAGAATTCCTCCTCCAGTCATGTTAGCTCAGGAATTCTAGGAGTTGAAGTCCACAAGTCTTAAACTTGCCAAGTTTGAAGATCCTGGCTCTAAGGCACCAGAGGGCAGAACAAGAAGTAACAAAGGGAAGCTTGTCAAAGAGATATCCAACCTAGAAGTAGAGATACTTTTTCTGACATTAATGTCATGGTTCTGACTAATGAACCCAAGGAAATCAGAACCCTGAAGCTAAAGACTTCCTCAAAGAAATTCTTTGTATCTAATATTACATGTGTTAACAGCGGCCAGAATTGTATTTGCACAACATTGGAAAGGTGTGGAGATCCCTACAGAGGAGAAGACATTTTTTAAAAAAAATACTAGAATGTGCAGAAATGGATAGATTAACAGTTGAAATTAAAGAGAAGGAAGATACAGAATATTTTGAAACAAGGGATTCATTTTATCAGTTCTTTATTGGATACATCATATTGGCATGGTCAAAAGCAAGACCAACCCTAAATGTTTCCTATGGCTTCAGTATCATTAAAATAAGAAATAATTCCCTCCCCAACAGCCTCAGGTCACGTTGGCCAATTAGGTTAATTGGCGGGCTCTCCAGGCACCCCTCTCTGGCTCTATCTATCACCTGTAGAAATGACCTTGGTTCTCAGGAGAAAGATCTGTGTTTTGTCTAGCAAAGCATTCTGTCCTCCTTCCTGCTCCCCACTCTGTGTGGCAATTGAGGAATAGAAAAATGGCTTCTGATAGGTTTGATTTGAAGTTGACAGTTAATCAACAGAATAACTTGCCTCTAAGGGTTGTGGGGGCTCCATCCATGGAGGCTTTCAGACGTAGACTGGATGGCCATTTGACTAGGATGGTATAAGGCCTCCTACCTTGGGCAGGGGTTTGGACTAAAACAGGGGTCCCCAACCCTCACTCTGTGGCCTGATATTAGTCCATGGCCCATTGGGAACTAAGTTGTGCAGATGTCAGGCAAGTGTTTGAAGCACCATTGGTGAAACTGGCAGGGTGCAAAACCATCCCCTTTTCACCCTCTCATCACTGCCACTGGTCCACAGAGATGGAAAGGGTTGGGGACAGGGGTGCGATTCAACCAGTATAATAACCGGTTGGGTGAGTGTGTGCTCCACATTTTAAAAAGCTAATACTTGCCTTCAAACACAGTTGAAGAAAACAACTGAGGCACGGAAAACCACTCTGCTGCATGAATCATCTGTGCTCTAAGGAAAGACCAGGGGCAGGCGGGCTAGCCCACATGCTCATCGGAGTGAACTGGTTCGGAGCAGAGGTGGTATTCAGCCAGTTCTGACCAGTTCTGATAACTGGTAGCGGAAATTTTGAGTAGTTCGGAGAACCAGAAAATCCCACCTCTGACTAGCCCTGCCCCTATCTATTCTCCACCTCCCAAGTCCCAGCTTATTGGCTGGGTCTTCCTTTGTTGTCCTGCACAGGAGAAAAGAGCTGGAAAGTAGGTTAGTGGGGTGTGGAGGGAATAGAGATTGTGCAGTAGTGAGGAAGTAGTTATACAGTATCCTTCCCCTATCACGCCCACCAAGCTATGCCCACAGAACCAGTAGTAAAAAGTTTGAATCCCACCACTGGTTCTGAGCCAGCTGATTGTTGGAACAAGGGCTTCACCCGAACCAGGAGAATCCCACCCCTGATTGGGGACCACTGAACTAGGAGAACTTCAAGATCCTTTCCAACCCTATGATTCAAAAATGGGACAAGTGCTGAAGACAGTGGGAGGGGGACCCTGGAAATCACACTATAGCTTGATTATCATTCGGTGTGTGAGGAATTGGTGGTTTGGAAGTTCTTTCCAGGGGGGAAAAAAAGAATTCTGGAGAACTCCTTTGACATTTTCTGTCAAGCCTTCTGAAAGCTCTCCAAGAGATGACTTGGAGAGCATTTCAGAGTGTTTGGCTGTCTTCCTCTGTCTCTTTCTCATATCCTTATTTGCTCTCTGCTTTGCAGCTCTTTTTCATCTGCGTCTCCCCTTTTAAATGCACAATGAAAATTCAGCCAGGAGTGTGATGGAGCAAAAGGATAAAACACCTGAAAGAGAGAGAAAATGAATGGGGATTTCTCTGGTCCATGTTCAGGGAATAAAGTTGCAACAGAATGTCAGTTTTGATTTGATGTTATATCAGTCACTCGGGATTCCTGACTTCCAGGTGGACTGAGAAACCTTTAGAGTGCTCTGCTTGCAATTTCTTACATACTCCATCTGGTAAAATATATACAGCACTTAGCAATAGCACTTAGACTTATATTCCTTTTCACAGTGCTTCACAGGCCTCTCTAGGTAGTTTACAGAGTCAGCCTGTTGCCCCCCAACAATCTGGGTCCTCATTTTACCCACTTCGGAAGGAGGGAAGGCTGAGCTGGTCAGGACTGAATTCCTGGTAGTGGGCAGAATTAACCTGCAATCCTGCATTCTAACTATGAGAAAGGGAATAAACGAGGGAGGGAGGGAGGGAGGAAGGAAGGAAGGAAGGAAGGGAAATAGCTCTTAGAGTTATTTTCTGGTTTACAGTGCCTTCCAACTCTCTATAAGTGGCTTAGAGAATCAGCCTATTGCCCCCTGGATCCTCATTTTACTGACCTCGGAAGGACGGAAGGCTGAGTCAACCTTGAGCCAGCCAGGATCGAACTCCTGGCAGTGGGTAGAGTTAGCCTGCAATCCTGTATTCTAACCACTGCCCCACCAGGAAGAAGAATGAGGAAGGGAATAAAGGAGGGAGAGAAGGAGGGAGGGAGGGAGGGAGGGAGGGAGGAAGGAAGGAAGGAAGGAAGGAAGGAAGGGTCAAGAAAAGTCATAAAATTGGGCGAAACTCACTTACAGTAACACATATCTCAGGTCAGCAACATAAATTTTGAACTCATTTTGTGATCCTAAGTTGAGAACTATTTGTAGTGCAAAATGGGAACCAAGTAATGTGTTCTCACAAAACGTTCTGCTTTTCCAAGGTGTTAGTGTAATAATAATTATTAGAAACAGACCTCGTTTTTTCTTATGGGATAATCCTGTTAATCTTTGAGCCTTGGATATCTTCTCTTCTTGGTTATCTAAGGATTGTGTTTTATAAAGAGGGGTACATTCTAGTTTAGCAGGATGTCCGTTAACACTCCATGATGTTCCTTTGTCCTCTTTCTGTTTCTAATTTTGGGCCAAAGTAGCCACAGAAAGCTACATCCCAGCTAGCTAGACGTGTCTTCTGAACCAGAAGATGTGCCAACACTTCATTTGTAACGTGGACGGTTGCCTTGATAATCCAAAGCAAAGCTATGAGATTGTATGCCTTGTTCGGTATGGCTCGCAAGAAACATGAGCTATTTCCCCCATCCTGTTTACATGCTCATTAAATATGAGCTGTGACCCAAAAGGATACGTGCTCTCATTTTTCAAAGCATAAACACCAGGATTTATATTTGACTGACTATCTTCAGTTCTGAGACCATTCTTCATAGGCTCCTCAAGTGATAGATCCATAAGGGTCAGGGTTATAAGGTTTTGTTAATGTTGGATATTATGCTGTCACGAGAAAGTGTGAGGAACATGTTACAAAGCTGGAAAAAAGACAAAAGTGTTATTATCAGAAGACTGGATTGTCAGTTTATAGCAATAGCACTTAGACTTACAGTATATACCACTTCACGGTGCTTTACAGCCCTCTCTAAGTGGCTTACAGAGTTAGTCTATTACCCCCAACAATCTGGGTCAGAATGCTTTCTTTCAGACCTCAGAAAGCTGGAAGGCTGAGTCAACCTTAAGCTAGTCACGATCAAACTCCTGGCAGTGAGTAGAGTTAGTTCGCCTGCAATACTGCATTCTAAACACTGTGCTACCACATGTTAAATAGCAATAACAACATCACTTAGACTTATATATCATTTCATAGTGCTTTTACAGGCCTCTCTAAGCAGTTTACAGAATCAGCCTATTGCCCCCAACATTCTGCATTCTCATTTTACCAACCTTGGAAGGGATGGAAGGCTGAGTCAATCTTGAGCTGGTCAGGATTGAACTGCTGGCAGTCAGCAGAGCTAGCCTGAAATACTGCATTCTAACCACTGCACCACCCCGGCTCAGTTTATGGATTGGGAACTATTATGATTTGTTTTAACCAAAGTTTTAGAATCTACACTATTCTTTCTTTTTGTTTTGCAGAACAACGCCCCGATAACAACAATGGCCATTTCATCTAAAAAGGTACTGAGAAAAAGAACCATTATAAAGCAGTTGCAATTTCGGGTTTATCCTTCCTTAAACGTATTTGATACAAATATTTCAATTTCAGACCATGAGTTGAATCCAGAAGCAAGAATCACCATTAAGCAGTTACTGTTTGGGGTTTAAAATTCCTTAAATGTATTTGGTGCAAATATATCAATTAAAGCCTATGAGTTGAATCCTGAATGAGGGCACTGAACTTAAACCAAGTTATCAATATGTGTCAATACTAACTTCTCTTGATACAATATTGATTTAATTAACTCAGGCAGGGTGGTGACTTATTTTAGAAACACTATTTTGTTATCCCCCCTCCCCCCCAAAAAAATCATAATTATCAAGCTATGAAGTAGATTGGAGTGGAAAGTAAAAAATATGTTTTATGCCAAATGATAAGATCTGTACAGAGATGGGTTTTGAAAAAGTATCGCTCATGTCTAATGCCACCCAACATTTTTTCTGCATCTGCTATGTTCCAATGGGGAGCGAAAGGGAGGGAGGGAGAGAGAGATGATGGATAGATGAATGGATGGAAGGATGGATGGAGAGAGAGAGATGATTAGATAGATAGATAGATAGATAGATAGATAGATAGATAGATAGATAGATAGATAGATAGATAGATAGAAAGAGAGGAAGAGAGAGGATAGACAGTCACATAGATGATGGATGGATGGATATATATATAGAGAAAGAGATGATAGATAGATAGATAGATAGATAGATAGATAGATAGATAGATAGAT